GAATACATTTTATGAACATAAAAAGTTCTGGCTACACGTTTATAAAGCCGGTAATATGCATTATAGATTACCAAAAGGAATACAGGGCCAGCAGGTGGCATGTTAAGGTGCTGCACTCCCACATGACCAACCACTGTTTAAATCCCAGACCCAGTGGCTTGAAAGTCACGCAGAGGGCGTGCGTGCACATGCCAAAAATATCCAGAGAAGGGAGGAAAATGGATTGCAGTATGGCCATCCCGTCTGAGGAGTTATTTTTTGCTTCCCCTCTCAATGTCTCTCTCCAGAGAATGTGCACGTCCTATGGCAAAAAAACTAAAAAATAAATTGTTTTTTTTTTTAAAAGGAATGCAACATTTTCTAACTTATGTCATTGGAGAACCCTTTTGAATACAGTCTTTTTAAAATTGTGTCAAGTGAGGGAACCAGCAGTTAGCGTAATGGCTATGTCGCTGGACTCCCACGTAGTCGACCGCGGTTCACGTCTTGGACCCGATGGCTTAGAACTCACGCCGGGCGCGTGTGCGTGCGTGCCCAAGATCCCGAGAGGAGAATGGAGGAGAAGGGACTGCAGCGTGAGTGACCATCCCCCCTGGGGGGTGATTTCTCGCTTTCTGTCTCTATGTCTCTCTCTGTCTGTCTGGCGAGTGCATGCGCCCTATAGCGAAAATCTCTCCAAAAAAAAAAAAAATTGTGTCAAGTGAGAAACAGTTTGGGAAATAATGAGTTAAAAGCTTGGACACACTTGTCTCCACTGTATGGCAAAATTTGTGTCAGCAAAAAATTTAGGGGATATTTTCTTCCTGCCACTTCAACACTTTTACTGAAAATAAGACCTGCCTGCTTCTACCTCCCTTATACTAGGAGATATGATGACCTTCGCTTTATTTTTACTCTGATGGTTCTGTCTGTTCTCAAGTTTTCTCCTATTACTCATCAAATGCCAAATTGGAAAGATACTTTATTTCTTTAAAAAAAAGAATATAAAGTTCCATCAAATAAATAAAACATGTAAAGCAAAATGAACACATTTTAAATTACAGATGACTGCTGAGCAACATGGAGACTGAAGTGCCAACTCCACCACCCTCCAAGTGGTCAGCAATCTTCATGTAACATTATTTTCAAAAAAATTATTATTTTATTTAAATTTACTACCAGACAGGTATGTTCCCCAGAGAGAGAGAGGGAGAGAGGGAACCTGAGAGAGAGAGAGGAAGGGAGGGAAAAAGGAGAAACAAGAAAGCAAGCCGCCAGATCTGAGATTAGAACTGCAGTTGGTCATATTGGAGGCCACCACCTGCTGGTCCCTCTACACGTAACTTTTGACTCTCTCAAAATTCTAACAGGCTGTTGTTTACTGGAAATCTACTGATAAAAAAAAAAAAGAAAAACCAGTTGGTTAATACTTTTTAAAAAATATTTATTTAATTTTTATTTATTCATTCATTTGTTTTAATTTGATCAGAGAAAGACACAGAGAGAGTGATAGAGGGAATGTGAGAAAGTTGCCAGATCCAGGACTCAAACCATGGTCAGCCATATGAGAGTGTCCAGCACGTTAACCACCTGCTGATGCCCTGGTTAATACTTTTTAAAATTTACTATATGCTATATCCTTACAATACAGTAAACTAGAGAAAAGGTTATTTAAAAATCATAAGGAACAGAAGATACATTTACAGTAATGTATTTTCCAATATATTTATTGGAAAAGTTTATATGTAAGTAGACCTGCACAGTTCAAACCCATGTTGTTTAAGAATCAGCTATGTATTACCATAATGCTTTTGGTAAAATTACTTTCCCTTTAGGTGAGTGATCTATTTTAATGGTTCTGCAGTATTCTTATTGTGTCTCCTCATATCCTTTCTTTGAAATATGCAGAAAGAAACAGAACAGAAACATATACATAGTATATCCATCATTTCGCTAAAAGTCTACTCTTGATTTAGTTCTCCCCGAAACCCTGAAAAATGGGGCAGGAATGACTTCAAAAACTACTGTTTATCTAAAAGTCAGAAACAGAAAAGAGAGGGGATTAAGAGAGCCAGATTCCACATAGCTGACTGTGGTTGGATCCTGACCACAGGGACTTGAAAAACGGGGTGTGTGTGTGCGTGTGTGTGTGGGGGGGGGTGTCCCAAATCCCAACAGGATGAGGAAATGGAGAAAAGGGATTATAGTGTAACCACTCCCTGAAGTAAAGGTAGAATAAGAGTAAGCACGTTGCCAGTGGAGTACTACCGAGCCAAATATTCTCACCTGCTGCCTCTAAATACCAGTTCTGTTCAGTGAAGGACTACCGTTCACTGAAGGCCTGCACGCACCACTCCACCCCTGGCCTACGGGGATCATCATAATTCTGATCCAGTCTTAAATGGCAACAAAAGACAAAATAGAAATAGGAAGTATACATACCAGGAACAGACATGCACTATTTAACGCCCTGTTTAACTTCACTCACACACTAATACCAGTGATTCTGGTATATTAGTGAGAGATTTCTTGACATCTAATTCACCTACTTAACTTCTACTCTCCTCCCTAATTCAGTAGCTGACTGCAGTAGAACCTATTTCTAATTTGCCAATTATCTACCTCAAAAAGAAGGCAGGCAGAATCACTACTCTCGTACTCTCTCCTGATCTAAAAGAGAAACTGCAGTGACAGATAAGCTGGTTGGGATCTTTGTCTTTTGCATAATCTATGCAGTTTTTCCCTCTCCACCAATGCAAGAAGCCTGGCAGAAAAAAAATGAAACAGTTGTGTTCCACATTTTAAATCTTCTGATAACTATTCATGTTGTTACGACGGACAGCACTGCCAGGAGTCCCAATGCTGCTATCCACCACCAGTGTTCAGTCAGCCCCGGGTCATGGGCATGTGTGTGCCCAGAGTACTCAGGGAGTTATCTGGACTGGAACCCAAAACCTTCCCATGTGGGACTGCCTCTCAGAAGATAGCATTTTATCACAAGTATTATCAGATTCACTTTACAGATAATGAAATTAACATTCAAGGAGGTTAAGTGACTTTCCTGGTTACCATTTTCCTAGGCAAGCGTAGAACAAACACCATCTACTTTTTAAACTTTCTCTGTGCTACGAAATACAATAAAAATGTTCCAATTAAACCAAAAACCACACTGATAGTAACTGCTACGTCTGTTGTCACAGTGGGGGTATCAAGTAAGAACAAAGCTGAGTCTCCCAAGAATACAAATGCATAATAAGACATCAGTACTAAAATGACACTGAGAACAGTGACTGCAACTCACAGGGAAAATGCATTTATTTAGTGTCCAAGTACACTCTTATTGACACACACAGGTCTAAAACAATACTTGGTCTTACCATGTGGGATGCCCTGTAAAATATTCTGCTCTACATTTATCCACTAACAAAGAAAAATGCTGGTCACAACTTAGTAAATACACTTAACAAACCACAAACATGTTATAATCCACAACCTCTCTAGAGTATAGCAATGCTAATTTATAATTTCAGGAAAATCTATAGTATTCTTCCTCCTTAGGATTAGTCTGCAATTGGGGCAGGCAGGTGGCATGGACTCCCACATGGACGACTGTGGTTCAAGTTTCAGACCTGGTGGCTTGCTTTCTCACTTTCCCTCACTGTCCCCCTCTGGTCAAATTTAAAAATAATAATAATAGGGATCAACAGTTAGCATAATGGCTATGTCGCTGGACTCCCATGTAGTCGACCGTGGTTCAAGTCCCAAACCAAGTGGCTTAAACTCACGCCAGGTGCATGTGCATGCGTGCCCAAGATCCCAAGAGGAGAATGGAGGAGAAGGGATTTTGTTGTGGCCATCTCCCCTGGGGGGGTGATTTCTCGCTTTCTGTTTCTCTGTCTCTCTATGTCTTTCTGGAGAGCGCACACACCCTATAGCAAAAACCTCCCCAAAAAGAAAATAGTAGTAAATGAATAAAGTTAAATAATTAAAAAAGAATTAGTCTACAATAGTATCCTATGTACTCAGAGTAAAACAACATTTTTTAAGTTTGCTATAAGGTGTGTATGCTCACTGGAGAGAGACAGAGAAAGAGAGGGGTGATTTCTCACGTGAGAAATCACCTCTGGGGAGATGCCCATGCTGCAATCTCTTCTCCTCCATTGTCTTCTCCAGACTTTCGGCATGCACACACACACACACACACACACACACACACACATACACACGCTCCCCATGTGATTTTCAGGTCACTGGGTCTGGGACTCCCACTGTGTAGTGGGCCATGTGGGAGCCAGCTTCCTTAACCTCCAAATTTAGCAGGGCCTTGTTACCATGCACCCAGCCTGGACACGGCGCATGGTCTCAGTGTGCCTCAATCACCTACCTCCCAAGGCCCGAGAGCAGAGGAAATGACTCCCAACTAGGGAGCAGGACCCTGTGTGAGTTCTGTACATTTGATGTGTCTGTTTCACCTGCGTTATTCCATCTGATGCTCACAACAACCCAGTAAGACAGGCAGAGGAGTATTATCAGACTCACTTTACATGTTCAAGGAGGTTAAGTGACTTTCCTGGTTACCACTGACCTCGTAAGAGGCAAGGGTAGATACACACCGTCTACTTTTAGGCTGAGGGCTCCTTTCCCTAAACTACATAGCTTCTGAGAGCATAACCTTAAATATTTTAACCACTGCATCCTCATCTTACTGTTGACTCAACTCTTTGTAGGATACAACAAAAGAGCTATTTATAATTCTAAATTTACCATGCCAAATTTATGCTTCTCTACCAACAAAAACTTTTGGCCACAGAACATATATTTTTTGGAAAGCACTATTTCTTTGTCGTTAGTTTAAAGGAACATAAGCATTATGAAAGACCTTAAAGGCCAAGGAGGCTGAAGAGAAGTCAGAGGAAGGGATATAAAATAGAATGCATTGATGTATTGTACTAATGGATTTTGGTCTCCTTAAACTTGTACTTTTGTGAGAGGATTCAATGGAGATTTAATGCAGGTGAGACCTGAAGCTTCCGAAGAGGCGCTAAGTCTTGATGAGGTTATTCGAACTCAAATCTTGAATGCATAATGATGAGAGGCCATGGTCTTCAAAACTTGGTACTTGCTGCTTTAAAACAAAACAGAAACAAAAAACTCTACTAGCAAATGGAATAAAAATGCTTCAAGGGAGGTTAATGGATATCACTTTTTGGACAGTAATTAATCAGATCACTAGATACCATGCTGAAAGAACAGAGAATATCAAAAGGAAGAGAAAAATAGATCTCAGTGGACAGAATGGCTACATATGTTCATTGGCTTATCTTATGAATATTCTTCACTGCAAATTGCAACAGAATTTAAAGTTCTTAGAGAACCACTTTGGGGCTGTAGTTAGATAAACCGATTTAGGGACCAGCAGTTAGCGTAATGGCTATGTTGCTGGACTCCCATGTAGTTGACCGCGGTTCACGTCCTGGACCCGGTGGCTTAAAACTCACGCCGGGCGTGTGTGCATGCGTGACCAAGATCCCAAGAGGAGAATGGAGGGGAAGGGATTGAGGCGTGGCCATCCCCCCTGGGGGGTGATTTCTTGCTTTCTGTCTCTCTGTCTGTCTCTGTCTGTCTGGCAAGCGCACGCGCTCTGTAGCAAAAAACCTCTCAAAAAAAAAAAAAAAAAACAATTTAATGATAATTTATTTCATCTCTTTGATCAGTATCCATGATACCAGATTGTCTTTGAGAGCTTTTGACCTTTCAAAGCTGGCCAAAATGTTGTTAGAAGAGATAATAAAAATGACACTGATTTTGTGGGGTAAAGAAACTGAAGTGGACATACTATGGTTTGAAGATATCTAAACAGGGAGAAACTGTAACAAAGCACTGAAATGGGAAAATGTAGATCTCTTTGCAAGATCTGAATGAGAAACACACAGTAAAACTATTGTAGACGTGTGTGCCCCATGTAAAAGACAAGAGGTTACAGGGATCTGAAATTCCAGCTCACCAAATAATTACCAGTGACTACGTCCCTTGGTGAGTTCTAGCATCTGTTCCATACCATCTCCTTCTCTTTTTGGGGGGAGAGGATTTTTAATTTCATTGACTTAATTTTGTGCTCACTCTGTTTCTTTTTACTGTATGTGCTGTGATAAACCTGGTTTTTAAAAAAACTTTATTTCTAACAAGTGCAAGCAAGAAATAGACAAACAGTAACTCTAACAGGATCTTGACTACAACCATAGCCAGCCCCAGACCTCGGTCACCCATGTGCCTAGTGTACTCAAGGTCGCTAGGCGCAGACTCCAGCCTTCCTGTGTGGGTTGGCCTCACAGTGCATTGCACTTTTATCCCCTTTTTCCAAGAAACCTTTAAGCTTTGGAAAACTAATTACAAGAACAGCAGTGAATATTTAAGGAGTCTGTACTTTCTGCCAGGCACTACTCTGAGTATTTCACATAAATACATTCATTCAATTCAAATAACAACCCATGAATTGAATTAAACAATCAATATTGAAACACTATTTGAACTAATGAAACTACTACTACCCTCAATTTACAGGTGAAAAAATGGAGGCACAGCCTTTTGGCTGGAACCGCCATCTTCCAGTAATGAACCAAAATGACGCACACAAAGGGAAAGAGGAGAGGCATCCGATATATGCTCTCTAGGCCTTTTAGAAAACATGGAGTGGTTCCTTTGGCAACATATATGCGAATCTACAAGAAAGGTGATGCTGTAGACATCAAGGGAATGGGTACTGTTCAAAAAGGAATGCCCCACAAATGTTACCATGGCAAAACTGGCAGAGTCTACAGTGTCACCCAGCATGCTGTTGGCATTGCTGTGAACAAACAAGTTAAGGGCAAGATTCTTGTCAAGAGAATCAATGTGCGTATTGAGCATATTAAACATTTTAAGAGCAGAGATAGCTTCCTAAAACATGTGAAGAAAATGACCAGAAAAAGAAAGAAGCCAAAGTGAAAGGTACCTGGGTTCAACTAAAGTGCCAGCCTGCTCCACCCAGAGAAGCACACTGTGAGAACCAATGGAAAGGAGTCTGAGCTGCTGGAACCTACTCCCTATGAATTTGTGGCATGATGGGTGTTAAAAATAAACTAATCTGTGGTCCATAAAAAAACAAACAAACAAACAAACAAACAAAAAAACTGAGGCACAGAGAAATTTTAAAATTCAAGTAGTTACCTCACTAGTAAGCAGTGAAGCCACAATTTAGACAAAGGTATTCTGGCTCACAAACACCAAACTATAAGCACAAAACTACCAGGTTGTCAGGAAAATCATGACACATCTTTGCAGAGACAAATACAGAAAATACATCATGACTTTCCCAATGACCTACTAGTCTGAGTACAACAAAATGTACCAAGACTAGGCCTTTATTTAAATCAGCATTGTGCCTTGTCACTATCATTCTCTGCAACTTCTGATTAGAATGCATAATGATGAAATTCTCCAACAGTAGTAACATAAAACCAGTTTCAGTAGTCACTTCTTAGAAGGGACACCATGCAGGAATGTCAAAGCATTTAAAAATAAAGCATGCCACAAAAATATTAACAGTAGAAGAGTATAGGTAACTGTGTTTCTTTTGCTTTGGCATATTTTCTGTATCTTAATTTTTGTTAAGAGGGCATGGGTTACTCATATAATTTTTGTAAAAGGTTTTAAGCATACTGTCATTGTTATTAGTATTAATGCATATTAAATTTTCACTAAAATTAGTTGGTTCTTTCTCTACATAAAGAACAAAAAGGTTCAAAGAAGAGTAAGCTTTATGGTACTAATAGCTGTTATTTACTTAGCACCTAATAAAGGCAAACCTTTACATACATTACCTTTAACCTTCGGTACATTCCTACTCTACGGATGAAGATATTAAAGATGAGAATGAATAATAGGGAACCAGCAGTTAGTGTAATGGCTATGTCGCTGGATTTCCACGTAGTCGACCACGGTTCGCGTCCTCGACCCGGTGGCTTAAAACTCACGCTGGGCGCGTGTGCGTGCGTGCCCAAGATCCCGAGAGGAGAATGGAGGAGAAGGGATTGTAGCGTGACCATCCCCCCTGGGGGGTGATTTCTCGCTTTCTGTCTCTCTGTCTCTCTCTGTCTGTCTGGCGAGCGCACGCGCCCTATAGCAAAAATCTCTCCAAAAAAAAAAAGAAAGAAGAATGAATAATAAAACTTACTAGAATAGCTAGCAAAGCCCAAACTCAAATCAGAGTTCATGCCCTTTCACATACAAAGCAGCCTTACCAAATGCCAAAATATCTGTCCAACTGTCTTCTGTTACTAAATATACCGAATAGATCTTTCGAAATTCAGGTATTCTTCTCTGCCTTCAACCAAAAATACTTAACATATATTATTTACTTTCAGTCAAGGTTATCATTTTAAATATCCGTGAATACAGAGGTGCTTACATCTACCCGAATTTTGGGCCCAGACTGCAACAATTTTTAAATCAGTCTGCTTTATGACTTTTTCCCTTTTTTTCCTTGTCAATATGCTTGACCCATTATCAATTTGCTATCTAATAGCCCATGGAGTTATATACCAGTTAATTTTTTCTAAATAATGACTTATTTAATCTTATTATTTTTTAATTTGCTATAGAGCACCTACCCTCACTAGCAAGACACACACACACACACACACACACACACAGAGAGAGAGAGAGAGAGAGAGAGAGAGAGAAAGCTGCCGGGACTAGGACTCAAACCATGGTTGGCTGTGTGGAAGTCTAGCACCCCCAACCACCACACCACCTGCTGGCCCCTAGAAACCAGCTCATTAACCCTATCAGAACTGTGTTTGAAATGAAATCAGTGAGCCAGCTCTCACATGGCCCACCGAGGTTCAAATCCCAGACCCTGCAGCTTGAAAACACAAAGGGCACATGTGTGTGCATGCCCAGAATCCTGACAGGATGGAGAGATGGAAAAGGAATTGCCATGTGACCCACCCCACTGCGAGGTGTTTTCTCCCTTTCTCTCTTTGTCTCTCTCTAGTGAGAGCATGTGCCCTCTGGCAATTACAAAAATCATAATGAAGTAAAATGAAAGGAAATAAATTGTGTAAGAACCTGAGAAAAGCATTTAGGTTTTGTGTCTTATAATTTGGGTGTTCAGGTAATATTTTAATGTATGCCGTGGCTATGGGTCATTTGAGACTGATGGGTAAGTAGTCAGGGGGTAAATTAGCCATCAGGATTTAAATACAGGAATGATAGAAGTCCATCTGTAATAAATTACTGTATTATACTATGAACATAAGAAATTTAGAACTGAAAGGGGCCTTCAAAATAATCTAGTATACTCTTCCATATAATGAGAAATCCCCTCTACAATACTGCTAAAGTTGAAACTCTGAGTAAGCTACTCTAATAACCAGAAGTTCACTGCCTCTCAGTACATCTAGTTAACTAGTTAACTAACTTTTCCTGTTTAGAACTAACTTTGGCCTCAACAAAGAACAAGGATGCTTCCTATGAAGTTTCCCAAGTCCTTCCAAAGTTTTCTATTTTCTGAACGAAACAGTCCCCATCCCCTCAATGCAGATCGCAGCTGTCCTTTTATTATAAACACAAAATTGATTTAAAACAGTCTTCTTGGGCCAGCAGGTGGCACAGAGGTTGGGGCAGCTGGCCCACATGGCTGGCTGTGCGGTGCAGTTCTAAACGGTGGCTTGGGAAACACTCTACGCACATGTGCATGTGTGCCCAGAGTCCCGAGAGGATAACAGAGGAGAGGGGGCTGTGGCGTGGCCATCTCCTCTGGGGGGTGATTTCTCACTTTCTCTCTCTCACTGGCAAACACATATCTGTCTCTCTGGCAAGTGCAAGTACCCTACAGGGAAAAAAATGTTCACGGAGTTTGTTTAGTTTGTTTAAGACCATCTTGGTAAATCTTAGTTATACACAATGGGAAAGTTTGGAAAGGCTTATGGATTTGGCTCAATTCAAACTGAACATCAAGGCTGGCCGGTGGCATGGTGGTTAAGGCACATGACCAACAGTGGTTGGAGTCCTGGATCTGGCAGCTTGCTTTCTCACTTTTTCTCTCTCTCTCTCTTTCTTTCTCTTTCTGGTGAGTGTACATGC